GGGGGGAAATACTAAGCAGACCATAGATAAGTGGTAACTTAGGTGAAGCGTAAGACAGTACACAATACTGGGGAAACAGTATTTCAGGTGAGCATGGAAAACACAAAAGTAATCTTCCCTTTATAAGCAAGGTGGGGTGGGGGTGATGGGGTGGTGCCTGGGTGACTACATGCATAAAAGGATAAGAACATGACGCGGAATTCATGATAGTGGCTGCCGCTGGGGTCAGAGGAGTGGAGTGTGAAGGGAATGGGATTTAAAAAAAGGGGGTCTTTAATTTAGTCTATGGAGAGCCCTAGTGGCCCAGTGATTAAAAGCTCTTGGCTGCTAACCAAAAGGTTGACGGTTCAAACACACCGGCTGCTCCCCAGGAGAAAGATGTGGCAGTCTGCTTCTGTAAAGATTTACAGCCTTGGAAACCCTATGAGGAAAGTTCTACTCTGACCTATAGGGTCACTAGGAGTCCGAATCCACTTGAAGGCAGTGGGTGTGGATTTACTTAGTCTAAAATGTTTTAGTTTATTAAAACATGCAAATGTTAACGTTTGTTGAGTCTAGGTGGGAAAATGTGGGCATCATAAGCAGGCATGGCAGAATACCTCTGACAAGCTCACCCTGGACTTAGGTGGGCTTCCCCATAGCAATAAGGTGACTTCCTCTGCTCACTGGTGCCAGGCAAGCATGTTGCAGTTACAACACGTTCACTTACCTTTTCCAAGTCTACCGTTTCTTCCAATAAAGTGGTTTGGTACCAGAGTTAAATAAGTAAAGGTCTCCAGGTCACTCTTGTGTGGGTAACACTCTCAACTTTTAAGAATGGGGCAAACCCCATGCAGGTTTAAACTGGTCCTGCTATGAGGGCCACGCCTTGCAGTTGACAAGGAGTTTGCTTATACAGTCAGTCCTTAGTATCCGTGGGTTCTGCATCCACAGATTCAACCAACTGCAGATTGAAAATGTTGGTGGCTGTGGGGAGAGCTCAGGGCCTAGGGGCAAGGCAGATGGCAGCACAAGGCAAGCAAGGGCTCCCCAGGAGGAACGGTATGTGGCCGTGAAGGATGAAGCTCCCAGGGGGAAGGACGCAGCCGCACCCCGACACGATTTGGACAAGTGAGGACACTAGGAATGGGGTTGAGAACTTACGCTCAGATGCTTCTTGGTCTGACAGAGTCTTGCAGAGCATGCTTGTGGCAGAGGTCTCTACTGGAAGGAGAGAACAAAGCTGGCAGGCCAGGACCTAGCACTCTCCGCACACATATGTGAAGCATCCAGTCACCCAGGACCTCCTACCTGAAGGACCCCTGGCTCCGAGGGCAGCCTGCAGTGGGAGGCCTGGATGCAGCTGTGCTTCAAAGTGACTGTTCCAGCACCTCGTGCGTCCACCCTGACCTGGCCGACCATCACTATTCCGCTTCAAAGTGAAACACTACATTCCTGTGCTTTGTGTATGTGTATATATATACTAACGCTATTTTATATACAGGACATGAGCATCCGTGGATTTTTGGTACCCCTGGGTCAAGGTGGGGGTGACGACGACTCCTGAAAGAGCTGTAATACAGGTCAAGGGCTGTAACACTGAAGATGGCTAAGAGCCCGGAAGGGGGCCTGCCTGCAGAGCAGCTGTGACAGCGGAAAGCTGCTGCTAGGAAAACAGCTAGGAGAGCTGATGGGGCTGTTACAGTGGCCATGAGTTGGGCCAGTTAGCAGCAGAGAGGCCGACAGAGGGGAGGCTGAAGGCAGACAGGAGTGCATGGCTGAGAGGGGCCTGCTTGTTAGCACGGCTGAGAGCAGCTAAGAAAGTTGTCCTGATTGGAAGCTGTTCTGCACTAAAGAAGGGAAGGATATGCTCTCCACCTCGGGGGACCTTTCTAAACTTCGGCTATGTGCTTTCTGATCCTGATCCCGAGTTATTCCTGTTATTTCCAAGTTGATCCTGATTCCAAGTTATAGCCTGTTACTTCCCTAACAAACCACATAACTCTGAGTATGGTCTGTGAGTTCTGTGTGGCCATTACAATGAATAATAGAACCCAGGAGAGAAGTAGAGAGTGCCCTGTGATTTCACCCAGTGTCCCACTGCCCACTTCATCTTCCACCCCCACCCCCGTTTTTCTGTAGCATTGCATCTGTGTGCTGCGATGCTTTCTGTTCATCTACAGGTATTAAACTTGTGTACTTTCACATAAAAAATAATTTAAAAAAACAGGAAGACCCTCAATGAGATGGAATGACACAGTGGCTGCAACAATGGGCTGAACCATAGCAAGGATTGTGAGGATGGCACAGGACTGAGAAGTGTTTCATTCTGTTCTACATGGGGTTGCTATGAGTTGGAAGCTACCTGATGGCACCTAACAGCAACAACACTGGGTTGATGGTGGTGCTATTTATTAGTGGGGACATTTGCAGGGGCACCTGGGTGGAGGGGTGGGAAGGCTTGTCCTGTAAAATCTGAGATGCCTATTAGACATCAAGTGTGATGTCCTGCAGGTAGCAGAAAATGAATCTGAAGCTAAGGGGGAGGTCTGAATCCAAACCTTAACAGATATCAAATAATTACATCTAAATTAAAGAAAAATATACAAAAACTAATAGTATGCAATTTTAGGGGCACGTTTATTATTTTTTAAAAATGCTTCATACATCTTTATTTCATGCATTTTCACCTGTGATTTTATCAGCAAAGTGAAGGGACAACCTATAGAATGATATGGCCTTTCCTCAGAAAGTTAAATACAAAGCTACCATATGACTCAGGAATTCTGCTCTTAGGTCTATACCCAAAAGACTTGAAAGCATCAAAGAGAACAGACACATGTACACCAATGTTCATTGCAGCACTGTTCACAATAGCCAAAAGGTGGAAACAACCCAAATGTCCCTTGACAGATGAATGGATAAACAAAATGTGGTATTTACACACAATAGAATATTACTGAGCCATAAAGAGAAATGAAGTCCTAATATATGCCACAACATGGATGAACCTTGAAAACATTATACTGAGTGAAATTAATCAATAACAAAAGGGCAGATATTGTAGGATTTCACTTATATGAAATACCAAGAATAGGAAAAAGTACAGAGATTAGTTTAATAGTGGTTATCAGCGGCAGGAGGGACAGAGAAAGGGGGGAATCATAGTTTAGGTAGCACTGAGTTTTTGTTTATGGGAGTGGAAAATCTGACACTGGATATTGGTTATGGTAGCACGACATGATTGACGGAATTGGTTTTACTGAATTGTACACATGAAAAATGTTGAATTGGCAAACCGGTGAATGCCTGGTTTCCACAAAAAAAACAAAAAAAGGAATACCCCAGGGCGACACACACGGTGCTGAGAATGTAAGACTCACTGACTACCATGGAGATCAACAAGCTAGAAGTCTTTCCTGGTGGGCAGAGTCCTTGACTGGAATTGAAGAGTTTGTGTAAGGCAGGGGCAAGTGTAGTAAAGAAGAAGGCCACCACTATGGAGGTCAGAACAGTCCCGACAGTGGATCCCACGCTCCCTCTCCCAAACGTTTCAGGTGCCCCTATCTAGGACTGGAGCGAGTTGACATCTAAGGAGGTGTTTCGATCCTGCGGTGTCAGAGCCCAGTTCTGGCAATACATTGAGTAGAGATTAATAAGGTTGGGGTACCTGAGAAAGGTCCGTGGTTAGAGAAAAATCTGTTCGCATTATTCATCAGCACAGCAATCAGATGTTTATCTGTGGGGTTGGACTGTGACATAATTCAGCTGTTCATCAAATTTATGGTGATGGCAACTGCCTTGGACAGGAATATCAATAAATTTAGAAACGTAGGAATCACCCTGGCTACTCTGAGGGAAAGAGAATTAAAGAGGTTAGATACCCTCTCACTCCCGCCCTTGTACCCTAGCTCGAGGGTTCAAAGGTGCTCCTGTCCTATCTGTTGGGGGGGACTTTGCCCCATTGATTGCAACATGGATAGTCTTTCCTGTACCATGTGCAAGAATAACACCCTTAATCCACCTCCATGGTGGTAAATCCAAATCTCCTAACTTGTATGCTCTTGTGGTTTAATAAAAATTTCTATTCAGTATACTGATATCTAACCCATGGGGCTCCTAAGTCAAAGCAGCAGGACCTCTTTAAGGAAAATGTTGACATTTAGACCTCAAACGGATGGTCATTATTTTTGAGTCCGCGTAAGATGCATCAGTTGGTCCCAACCCACCTGGAACAAAGGAGAATGAAGAACACCAAAAACACAGGGAAAATAAAGCCCAAGAGACAAAAGGGCCACATAAACCTGAGACTCCAGCAACCTGAAACCAGAAGACCTAGATGGTGCCTGGCTAACACCAATGACCACCCTGAAAGGGTACACAACAGAGAGTCCCTGATGGAGCGGGAGAAAAGTGTGATGCAGAAATCAAATTCATGTAAAAAGACCAGACTTAATGGTCTGACTGAGACTGGAAGAACCCTCAAAGCCATAGCCCCCAGCCTCTCTGTTAACCCAGAACTAAGACTGTTCCCGAAGCCCACTCTTCAGACAAAGGTTAGACTGGACTATATAACATAAAATAATACTCATGAAGAGTGTGCTTCTTAGTTCAAGCAGATACACGAGATCAAATGGGCGGCTCCTGTCCAGAGGCAGGACAAGAAGGCAGAAAGGGACAGGAGCTGGTTGGATGGACACAGGAAACCCGAGGTGGAAAGGGGGAGTGTGCTGTCACATTATAGGGACTGCAACTAGTGTCAGATAACAATATGTGTATAAATTCTTGCATGAAAGATTAACTTCAGTTGTAAACTTTTACCTAAAGCACAATTAAAAAAAAAAGAGGGCATGAAGCTTATAAAGTTGGGACTAAGGAGAAAAATGGAAAGCAAAGAGGATTATAAAGATACTTTCTTGAAGCACAATTTTGCCTTAGGTCAAGAACCACTTGTGTAAATGTTATTATGGTAGAAATGGCAAAGTAGAAGAATCTGGAATTGCCCTTCTTTTTCAGAAGAGTAAATCAAAATCAGCTCTTCATCTCTGGAGAAATTGTAGATGTTAGTGCCACAATTAAAGGATTGAAAGATAAAGACTGATGATTCTTATCACACCTCAAGTTGAATTAATGCAGAAGACAGGTGCACCTTGGAGAATGACAGTGGATTATTGTAAGTTCAATCAGGTGGTGAATTCAGTTATAGTTGCTTTTCTTGATGAGGTCTCCTTAGTAGAGAAAATCATTAGAGTCTTTTGAATCTGTTATGTAGCTATTAAATTGGTGACTATTTTATCCCTTTATCCCATAAATAGAAAATATCAGAAGCAGTTTGTTCTTACCTGGAAAGGAAAACAGTACACCTTTACTGTTTTGCCTAAGGACCCAATCAATTGTCCAACTTTGCCACAATTTTGTGTGAAGGAAAGTTGGCCATATCACTGTCCTACAGGCTATCATGTTGGTCTGCCACATTTTCACATCCTGACAGTAGGAGACAAGGAAGTAGCAGAAACCATGGAAACCTTGATAAGACATTTGTGCTGGAGGAGGAAGAGAAAAATCGTGACAATATAGAGACCTGCCACTGTGTTGAAATAACAGAGGAACGTCAAGATTTCTGCTTGAAAGTGAAAAAAAAAGTTATTAATTAAACCCCCTACTACTAAAAAAAAAAAAAAGGCACAAGTCTCAATAACTTGCTGTGTTGCAGGCTGCCCATTGGTGCCAGGGATCTGCTTAGAGCTAACAATAGTCATTGGGCACAACTCTGCTCACAGGGTCTCCAACAAGTTTTGGATCCATCACTAGACAATCATAAGCAGTAGCCAGGGAATTACTTCTCTAGCTTTCTTAAAGCCCCACCATTGGATTTCTAATTTGACTTATCAGGCAGGCAAGTTTAGCTGGAGAGTTGGGGGCTAAAGAGCTAAACCAATGGCCCCCTAAGAAATGAAAAGTTAGGTAAACAATCCACAAGCCTTCTTCAAAAGTGCCCCCATGACATCCACTAGGAGTTACTGAGACCCATTGGCATGGCTGGAAATGTGTCCTCAGACTCTTGCAAATGATCTATTATTACCTACCGAGAGTGCCCTGCGGGCTCTGCTAACACTTCCCAAAATTTCTCTGTGGGATCTTCAAATTGTTTGTTCATCTAGAATGGCACTGGGATTACTTGACCATCCTGCTTACTGCACCAATTTGTCAGAGTTGCCAGGTGTCAAGTTGGTCAATTAGGCCAAGGAACAAAACTGAAACAATTAAACTGTGATTCACTTACTGTGATAGTGGAAGCAAGAAGCCAAAAAGAGAAAAGTGCCAGCCCCCTCAATGTTCCATTTTTCCCCATGGAATGGCAACAGGTGACATTCAAGTGCATCAGTGCAGAGAGGGTGAAAATAAGTACTTGCATTTTTAGAAGTAAAAAAAAAAAAGATAATTGATTATGGTGGTGGACTAAACACAAAAATTTATCTACACACACACACACACACACACACACACACACACGAAAAAGTGTCACTATCAGACAAGAAACTGTGAGGAATTCTTGGAAGATAGATAAATCAGAGGCAATTAGATTGGTAAACTAAAACAAACTTACAATAGAAAATCAAGCACATTCAGAGAAATTACAAGAACAGACTCAATGAAATCAAAGCACCCAAGAAGGTTCTGGGTCAACTGTGAGATTAAAGAGCTACTGTCTGAAATGTAGATCAATTTGTCCCTGTCCTCCTGTGACCCTTCCCCACTCCTGCTTACACCAGGCAGTAAACTCCAGTGGCTGTGATTCCTGCTTAATCCCTAAAATGAACCTGACTGTGAAGGGATCCCAAATTAGAGCAGGACTTGAGACAACTGCAGACTTACACAGCCAATTGGAGGAGAATGAAAACAGAAGTGCACATCAACCTAGAAGGAAATACACTAGTCTTCCAATACCTGAGAAGTGCCCTGCTTATTTTGCCATGTGGGAGGCCTCTACCCTACCTGCTAGCTGCATGCCATGTATCCCAAAGGGAGAAGACCTTTGCCTCATTGACACATCCTGCTCTCCATTCAAAGGGGCCGACAGGGGAAATGGATATCACAATCACCAATTAAATTCACGCTAATTACCTGTACTAATCAAACAAGTCATTTAGTGTTCGTTTATATGAATGTACACAGGTTTGTCAGGTATGTGAGATAAATGAAAGAGAGGCTCATGATGAATAACCAAAATTCATTGGAGGGAAGAGGGAACAGATATAATACAGGAAACAGAAGAGAACTGTATGAGTAAATTGAAATTCATTTTCTCAGATATTAAAAGAAGACAATGGGTTTATAAAATAAGAATAGGCTCCTATAGAATGGAGCAATGAGAGGATAAGAGAAAGTTCTTGGAAACTAGAAGCATTATTGCCCAAATTAAAAACTCAATCGAAGCTGACACTCAAATGTACAGAGGCCAGGGTTCCTGCTAATGGAGAGCAGCTCTCGTGCGGCTCCCGCCTTTATGGGCCCGCATTCTATTATTCTATTGCCCAAAATGATCCACAGATTCAACATGTCCCTGTCAAAAATCCCAGCTTTTTTTCTTGCAGAGGTTAACAAACTTATCCAAAAATTCATATGGAATTATAAGGGACCTAGGATAGCTAAAACAATCTTGAAAAAAGGCAAAGTTGGAGGACTCACACTTCTGAAAACAAAACTTACTACAAAACTACGTTAATCAAGACTGTAAGTATTAGAGAGGGATATACATAAATGGAATAGAACTGAAAGTGCATAAATAAACCCATACATCTATGAGCAATTGATTTTCAAGGATTCAAAGACTATTAAATGTTGAAAAAATACTCTCTTCAACAAATGGTTCTGGGACAACCATACAGAGAACTTTACCCAAAACTTCAAATTCAAATTCTCAGTCTTAAAAAGATACTGGGTTTATAAAATAAGAATAGGCTTCTATAGAATGGAGCAACGAAAGAGTAAGAGAAAGTTATCAGAAACTAGAAGTGCTATTGCCCAAATTAAAAACTAAATCGAGGCTGACAGTTCACGGAAACCAGGGTTACTGCTCCATGGAACGCGGGGCTCGGGCACCTCCCCCTGTTCCAGGCCGGCGTTCTAGACCCGCCCCGCCCCCCATAATGGAAAAGTCATCTGGGTTCCAATCCCCCTTTATAACGTACCCATCATCCGGGTCCCAATGCCCCCTTTATAAAGGACCCCGCCAGCCGGGTCCCAGCTCTGCCTTCCTGGTCTGAGTCCTGCCATCCGGATCCAGATCCCACCCCTATAGCCGCACAGAGACGTCCTGGGTCATCGCCCACCCTGGGTACGCAACGTGGTCCCCGCCGCGCCCGCCGCCCGCCGCCCGCTGTGGTCCACCAGCGCCTGCGCCGTCGCCGCCTGGCCCCAGCCACCCGCCGTGGCGACCATGCCATCGTCTCAGGTGCGTTGGAAGTACCACCAGAAGTGCGAGAAGACGATCAACCGGCAGATCAGCGGGGATCTCCACGCGTCCTACGTGTACCTCTCCATGGCCTACCACATCGACCGCGAAGACTTAGCCCTGAAGAACTTCTCCGCCTACTTCCTGCGCCAGTCACCCAAGGAGCACAAGCACGCGGAGACGCTGCTGAGGACACAGAACCAGCGCATGGGCCGCATCCAGCTCCCAGACATCAGGAGGCTCGACCTGGACGACTGGGGCAACAGGCTCAAAACTATGGAGTGCGCCTTCCACCTGGAGCAGAGCGTCAACCAGAGCCTCCTGGACCTGAACCGGTTGGCCACCAACAAGGGCGACACGCAGCTGTGTGACTTCCTGGAGAGGCATTTTCTGCATGAGCAGGTGAGGGCCATGACGGAATTGGGCCACCACGTGACCTACCTGCACAAGCTTGGGGCCCTGGACGCCGGCCTAGCCGAGTACTTCTTTGACATGTTCACCTTGGGCAACAGCGACAAGGAGAGCTGAGCCTTAGCACCGGGGAACTTACGTGGTCCCTGGTGCATGCAAGCATGCTACGGTTACAACACGTTCAATTCTCTCTTTTCTCTTCGTACTCTACCATTTCTTCCAATAAAGTGACTTGGTACCAGAGTTAAATCAATAAAGGTCTCCTGGTGAATTCTTGTGTGTGCAGAACGCCCAACTTTGAAGAACAAGGCACATCCCCATGCAGTGGTCCAGGAGTCTCCCCATCCACCCATGTACCAAACTCACGAAGCTCAGGAATTCCAGGGGTGGAGGGAGGGACAAGGTATTTCAGGTGAGGCTGGAAAACACAAAATTAATCCTCCCCTTATAAGCAAGGTGGGTGGGTGGTGAACTGGGCTTGGGTGAGGGGGTGAAGGGGGGTGGGGTAGTACCAGGGTGTCCCCTCACCCACCCATGCCCCAACCTCATGCAGCTCCGGATCTCCAAGAATGCAGGGAGGGAAAAGGTATTTCAGGTGAGCGTGGAAAACACAAAAGTAATCTTCCCTTTATAAGCAAGGTGGGGTGGGGGTGATGGGGTGGTGCCTGGGTGACTACATGCATAAAAGGATAAGAACATGAAGTGGAATTCATGATAGTGGTTGCCGCTGGGGGCAGAGGAGTGGAGTGTGAAGGGAATGGGATTTAAAAAAAGGTGGTCTTTAATTTAGTCTACAGAGGGCCCTACCGGCCCAGTGATTGAAAGCTCTTGGCAGCTAACAGAAAGGTTGACAGTTCGAATACACCAGCTTCTCCCTGGGAGAAAGATGTGACAGTTGGCTTCCGTAAAGATTTACAGCCTTGGAAACCCTAAGGGACAGTTCTATTCCATCCTAGAGGGTCACTATGAGTCTGAATCCACTTGAAGGCAGTGGGTGTGGGTTTACTTCGTCTAAAATGTTTTAGTTTATTAAAATATGCAAATGTTAACATTTGCTGAGTCTAGGTGGGAAAATGTGGGCCCCATAAGCAGGCATGGCAGAATACCTCTGACAAGCTCACCCTGGACTTAGGTGGGCTTTCCCATAGCAATAAGGTGACTTCCTCTGCTCACTGGTGCCAGGCAAGCATGTTGCAGTTACAATACATTCACTTACCTTTTCCAAGTCTACCGTTTCTTCCAATAAAGTGGTTTGGTACCAGAGTTAAATAAGTAAAGGTCTCCAGGTCACTCTTGTGTGGGCAACACTCTCAACTTTTAAGAACAGAGCAAACCCCATGCAGGTTTAAACTGGTCCTGCTATGAGGGCCATGCCTTGCAATTGACAAGGAGTTTGCTTATACAGTCAGTCCTTAGTATCCGTGGGTTCTGCATCCACAGATTCAACCAACTGCAGATTGAAAACGTTGGCAGCTGTGGGGAGAGCTCAGGGCCTGGCGGCAAGGAAGAGGGCAGCACAAGGCAAGCAAGGGCTCCCCAGGAGGAGCGGTATGTGGCCGTGAAGAAAGAAGCTCCCAGGGGGAAGGATGCAGCCGCACCCCGACACAATTTGGACAAGTGAGGACACTAGGATGGGGTCGAGAACTTACGCTCAGGTGCTTCTTGGCCTGACAGAGGATCTTGCAGAGCATGCTTGTGGCAGAGGTCTCTACTGGAAGGAGAGAACAAAGCTGGCAGGCCAGGACATAGCACTCTGCACGCATATGTGAGGCATCCAAAGTCACCCAGGACCTCCTCCATGAAGGAACCCTGGCTCTGAGGGCAGCCTGCAGGGGGAGGCCTGGATGCGGCTGTGTGAAGCATTCCCCAAACAAAAAAAACCTGTTGCATTTCAGTCAATTCCAACTCATAGCCACCCGATAGGACAGAGTAGAAGTGTCCCATAGGGATGCCAAGGAGCGGCTGGTGGATTGGAACTGCTGACCTTTCGGTTAGAAGGCTTAACTCTTAACCACTGCACCACCAGGGCTCATTGCCTAGAACTAGCCAAGGTCAACTCTTACTCTTCTGTTCATTTGGGTTGGCAAGTGGTCCTCTCCCCAACAACTGCAGGTGGAGAGTCACCTTCAGCTGATAACACAATAGCACCAACATTACTAACCCCACCCCAGAAGTGAGCTGTCTTTGGGTCCAGAGCACCAATTTCTCATATTCCAGTGTCCTTCCGCCTACAGTGAATGCCTCTAGGGTGGGTAATGCCAGGGAATTAATCATTATACGAACACCTTGACCTGTTGGCTAAATCCCTGTCCAATGTTTGTAGAACTGTTTATGCTGGCTTATGGCTGTGGATGGTTGTAGCACTGAACAGAGTCTCCTGGATACTTCACTGTGCAGCACCGAGGAGGAATTCATAAAAGGCCCGAGAAGCCAGAGCAGGTGGGTAAACTGTGTCAGGCCAAATTCACACTTCATAGTATACGCAGTGGCCGGCAGAAAATGGTCCCTATGACTCTTGTAAGAAGCAGGCTTCCTAAGCTCTGTCAGAACCTGTTTCTTCTCTGAGCTGAAGTTTGGAAGGTGAGCGTTCATGAGTCCGTGTTGACAAGCTCTCTGCAGGCACACACGGGCCTGGGGGATTGGGCAGAGCCATACTTCCACCCCTTTTAGGAATTGTGCTTCACAGGAAATGTGGTGCCCATGACAAGCGTGGCATCAGTCTACATTCCGCACCCTCCCGAATCCCCTCCTACACGTGCACAGGAATCCTGCGCTCAGGGGAGGAAGGGAGACAGAGAATCGCTGCCCGTGGGACAACATCAGCGACTCCAGTTTAGACTCTGCTGTGCATATCTGAAAGGTGGGAGGGGAGACGGCAAGGAAGGATTTGCCTGTAGCCTGGGCCCCGTGAAGAGGACTGTTGGCGGCCAGGGCCCTGTTGGGAGAGGGACGCTGAATCCCGAGTGAGCGAGGACAGATGCTGGGGAGGATGTGGCTGCCAAGTCAGGTCTGTGAGCAACAGCAGTCAGGGCAGGTCGAGTCAGACCCCGGTGAGCACAGCACAAATCATCACATGTGAGAAGGCAGGAGAACAGGAGTGGAGCCTCTGGGGAACTTGCAGGGTAAAGTCACCTGGGCATTGTCATGAAAATAAGGCCTGGGAACCAGGCTGGCCTCACAGCATCCTTTGGGAATGGAGACCTTCTGAAGGCCCGGGCTGCCCTGGCCCCTCTATCTGACAGATCCTGCAGGATATGGGCAGAGGGAGACAGCCTGACTTTAGAAAGAGACTAGGAGCCCTCAAAACAGGGTTCAGGAAAGAGAAGTCCTTCTATAAACATCAAATACATCATTTCCAAAAAGCACAGATTACAAAGCAGCAGCACACAGACCTAATCTGCACATTTGATGGTTTTCTTAGCTCTATACAGACATTTTGAAGGAAAATTAATTAGCCGCAGACATATAAAAATCAAGAACTTTTTACCTGAAACTTTGGATTTCTGACTTGAGAAATCAAAATGTCTGGGCGTACACATGGTTACAGACAGCTGGAGATGACTATCTGCTGTCCCATTAAAACTGGGCCTCTCTGGTTTGCCACAGTCCTCACCCCTCCCTATTGGGTCTCCGGTCTCACTCCCTCCACTCATTTATAATACTTGCCTGGCTAATACAGATACTTGAGTTTGTCATTCCTGCGGCAAATTAATTCTGTAACCACAGTGCTCAGAAAAATTAATCTTCTCATTTAATGAAGTAGTACCCTGCAATGGTTCTTAAACTATCTTTGCTGAAGGGGTGGTCTTTTCTGTTGTTGCTCCAGTTCATTGTGAGTGGATATGTGGTCCTATTGCACATGATGAGTACTCAGGTCACATTTGACTCGTCACTCGAGATCAATAACACTCAAACTGGTGTCTACCCTGTTCAGTCAGATGAAACCACTAACTTAAAC